GCCAGATTCAGATCTGAAAAGTATACATTGGATTTGAATTTGGATCTGATAGGATCTAGATCTGATCCGGATCTAAATTAGTTCGAATTTTATATATTATAAAATTAAAATATAATTATATAAGTTAATTATATAATTATATATATTAATAAATAAATTGTAACATATACTTATATATAAAATAATATATATTATTTTATAAAATTGGGTCAGATCTGAATCGGATCAAGCTAACCCAAATTACTATTCGAAGCTAGATTTGGATCCAGATCTGAATTTTGGATCCAAATCTTGAATCTATACCCAGATCTTAATAGGATCCGAATTTCTAGTTTCGGATCCGGATCAAGCGATTACCAGATTTGGCAACCGTAATTTTCTTAGTACATGGAGTTTCACAAAAAAATAATAATAATGAAGTAAGTGTGTATACTCCGGAGAATGCAATCCACTTTCCGCCACCGGTGAAAAATGTCCTTGGAAGAATTTTTTGGATCTGAAAATTTGAAATCCACTTAAGAGTCACGAAATGATAATTTAAAAAAAAAAAAAGAATTTTGAATTATCTATCAATGAGATCTTGCCCTCCAAAATTTGGATTTTTAGATTTGAGACGTTATTTTCAGGGTGAGTATGAGATTTGAATTTTTCTTCATTTTCTTTGGTTGAGGTTGATTACGTACGTAAACTTTGGGACCTTGAGACCTCAAAATACTCTTTACGCGCTTTACCCGAGGTAGTAAGTGAACAGTATGCTCCCACGGTAGCAGGAAATCATATGAGATTTCTATATAAATGAATACTGGAAAATAAGTACGAATTTCACATGTAAGAAGTCAAATGATTAGTGGGAGTTACCACAAAATATTTATGTAGTAAATAGAAAAGGTCAGCCAAGCTATTGAGGCAGAGGAGAAAAAATAATAAATAAATAAATTGAATGAATGCAGAGAAAACATAGAAACTAAAAGGGAGAATTGACTCGAGGATAAAACCTTTAACATCCCTTACACAGGCCAAAGTGTTGCAAACTGGACCACGAGTTATGGGAGAGTTTAAACATATTTCTCTATTTTCACTTTATTCATGTTTAATTCTTTTGCTAACCCCAAATAGTTAGGATAAGGCTTAGAAGATGATGTTGGTGATTCATGTTTAATACCTTTATTTCTCTTATTCTTTTTTTCTATTCATTTTTCTCATAATTATTTTCTTTTCTTTCATATGACTGATTGATTGTCCTCTAGCTAATTGATTCAAAGGATAAGGTTTGAAACAAGGACCTTTCATGAGATCATCCATTCTAATTCTTAACCAAGCTATGAAATCTGATCAAATTTTTATATTGTACACAAGTAGATGTCCTTTATTGTTATTATCTTTTTTTACCAATAATCCTTGCAAGAGCAAGCCCCATATCTAAAATGGTGAAACCTACTTTTATCCCACACAATAATTTCTCTCTCATAGTTCTTGGATAAGAACTTAATGAAAACATGGCAATCACCGCATATTCTGAGTTTCTTCACCACCCTTATAATACTTCCAGGCTCTGTGCTCATTAGGCCAAATGCAATGGCCAGATTGTCACAGTGATACCTAACTGCACTCTCCTTCTCCTCCTCTTCAATGTAATGTACCACTGGTACGGTTTTCGCGTCGTAGCCAATCTCTCTCACACCCCAATTGATTTCATCCAAAAACGTGCTAATTTGTGCAAATTGTACGTGCGACGAGTCTCCGACTGTGAATTCGTGAACAGCATTGCTCGCCTCGATCAAGCTAGAACCTCGAGTTTTCCTGACTCCTCTATCTCTCATTTCTTTCCTAATAGCATCAACATCATCCCAATTCTTCCTAGAAGCATACACATTTGACAGGAAGACATAGTTTCCCCCATCTCGAGGGTCCAACTCTAAGAATCTCTTGGTCATTTTCTCACTTAATTCGATGTCTTTGTGGGCCTCGCAAGCATGAAGCATGCTCCCTAGCACAACTGGGTTGGGCTCGACAGGCATTGTCTCAATGAGCACAATGGCTTCTTTCAAGAATCCTGCTCGAGCCAAAAGGTTGACCATGCACCCATAGTGCTCGACCTTAGGCTCTATCCCATACTCATTTCTCATGAGAGAGAAAAAACCCTTCCCGTCATCGACCAAACCGGCATGGCTACACCCAGATAGGAGCCCCACAAAGGTGACCCCATCAGGCCTAATATTGCACTCTCTCATTCTATTGAGAGCATCTATGGCCTGTAAGCCATATCCATGCATTGCCAACCCTGATATAATTGAATTCCAACTAAAAATATTCTTGTGGGGCAATTCTTTGAAGATTTGTAAAGCAATATCTAAGCTCCCACACTTCAAATACATGTCTAGAAGAGCTGTACCTAATACCACATCAATCTTGACCCTCTTGTGTCTCATATAGGCATGGATCCATTTTCCCATGTCCAAGCACCCAAGTCCAAGCACCCAAATGAGCACAAGCTGATAGCAAGCTAACCAATGTGACCTCATTAACTCTCACTCTCTCAACTTGCATCTAGTGAAACAATGAGAGAGCATTAGCAAAGTCCCCAGTGTGTACATGGCCAGATATCATAGTGTTCCAAGTTGTCGAATTCCTTGAATCCATGGCATCGAACAACTCTTTCGCCAATGCAAGGATACCAGATTTGCGATATCCAGTGATCATGGTGTTCCATGAAACCACGTCTCTCGCCGGATTCCCATCAAAAATCCGGCGAGTAGCCTCAAAATTGCCAGATTTACAGTAACAATCGATCATTGCATTCCACGATACATTGTGTATATCTCCACCAATGCAATGGAAAAGCATAAAACGATTCATAGGACCATAGAGATCTAGGAGCACAAGTGTCTATCACCATCCATTAAATGGATAGCCATGTAATAGTGGGACCTACCCTCTTCTTCCATCACAGTACTAGAGATGACAACGACGTGAATGGCTTTCTTCTGTGATGATATTGGTCATGGCAATGTTACTTAGGTACACTGCACATGCCTCTTCGGACGGGATAGGTAAAGGCTTCCTTTTTTACAAAATCGAGAAGTCTTAAGGTACACTTTTAAATCAAAAATAAAAAATGCAATTAAAATACATGTTTATTAGGTATTTTAACAAAAAATGTATATATAAGGTTGTAATATGGGCACATCTCAAAAATTCAATAGAAAAGAGTAATCCGAAGTGGGAAAAGCCTGATCCTAAAAACTAAGGTTGCTAGGCCTGATCCGAAGTAGGGCTGATAGGTTGCATGGCCAAGCCTGATCCTAAAAAACTAAGGCTTGCCCCTCAAAATGTGGCCTGAGGGCCAGGCAACAAAGGCCCAAGGGTAGGGCTCGGTCAAGGCGGGCCTAGGCCAAGACCAGCCTAGTTTGGGCTTGCCCCGATAAGGCTAGGGCCATGGCCTCTTTGGCCAAGTAAAGACCAGCTCCAGCCTTGTCCAACCGTGTGGGGACAAGGGCCAGGACTAGTCTTGCCTAGGCCCTACCCGTTGCCGGTCCTAATCCTAACCTCCTTGTGCTTGGATATAAAGAAAAAGATCAAACCTTAAAAAAGGTGTATCGTATAACAAGTTATGTAGAGTATCTATTTGCAAGATTTTCAAGTGTTTATATATCTACTTGACCTGCATCATTTTTTTGAAATTTTAAATATCATGATTAGGACTGAACATAGATTTTCAAGCCATCATAAATGTTTTACTCTAAAATATTTTTCGATAAAATTTAGAGGTGCGCGATACGTGTATAGTATAAGGTGACCTATCCAAATCTCACCCATTCCCAAAAGTAGCTCCAGTTTATGAAGCCTGCCAACTTTCAACGAGAAAAAAGGCACATCTCCAAACCCTATCAATTGATGCAGTTCCGCTGCAAAAAACCACTAGGATGGCCTAAAAATATAATTCCACCCTTAATTATGAAGCTTTGATATTCAAATTGTTGTGAATCGAATAGCTCTATCATTACTTGAAAATCTTAAAAATGGATAGCCTAAATAATATGCTATACTATCCACTACTTTTAAGACTTTAAATCTTTAGAAAAAAAAAATCTATGCAACACGAGTTTGAAATGATCAACTGGAGGGTTTTCCATGTCCTTGTAGGTTTTTTAAGTCGTTAATAAATTTTTTTTACTACATATAGTAATATAATGAAATATATCTTCAAAAATTATTTGAGGCATTTGTCTAGTCCCATTGTTAAATGGAGAAATTTATCAAAATACACATGAGAGATGCGTTATTCAACGTTTTACCCATATTTTTTAATTTAATTTCAAAATACCCATCAAAATACACATGATGATGACTTGCAATAGTCGCATTTGGGTAAAATATTAAATAGTTAATATCCTATAGTTATTTTGATAAATTTCCCTTGTAAATATACAACCTTTTCATTTGAAACACTCAACCTTATAACGTGACCTTTCAACCCATTGAACATAGGACCTCCATATGATGGGATGATTGGATCTAGTCCTTGGGGGGGCACCATTTTTTACCCTAAATTTTATATATGGACTTATTGTTACTAGATGCAAAATTTACTTGTTACTAGATGGATAATTACGAGAAAAAAAAATGATTGGGAATTCTTAAAGACCTAAATATCAACAAGTAGACCCTTATTCCAGATTCAACCTAATTCGCAACAAAATTGCCAGGCTTCAAGATACATTACATCTCAATAAACACAAAACTTTCACAAAACTTTTGGGGGGCTCATATTTTTGAACGACAATGAATGTACATGGAAATTGAGAATTTAAGACCACTTATATCTAGAGCTTGTATACTATGAGACCATTTACCCTCACAATCACTCTTGGTCATTACAGGTCAAATTTGCCACAAAGTTCGAAAAAAAAAAAAAAAAATTGAGTCAATAACACGCTTACAACCACCCAAATTTAAAATATGACAAATAAGAGTATTTATAACCTTGTACAAATGGTCTCTGTATACTTATCCTTATATTCATGCATGTTGACATGAAATGGATATGAGAAAAGCGACTTCTCAGTCTTTGGCCAAAGCCCTCATGCTTTGGGCAAAGGCTTGGTATCTCATTGCAAATCTTCATTCTCAATGTCCCTTGGAACACATTATCTATTTTGAGTACAAGGACCAGCAAAACATGATCCCTAAGGACTTCAAAAGAGTCTATGAGGAAAAGGCAAGAGGCCCTCTTTCACTAAACCTTTGATCCAAGAAACAAAAAACAAAGATTTGTTGGCCTTTACAACTCTACTAGACATTTTATCCGCTTCCCAACTTTGTTTCTCCTTACAAATGAAAAAGGCCAAAAATTAAAAAATAAATAGTAGGATCATCATGAACTCCCACCCAACAGCCAATGAAGTCATATATTCCATCTCATACAAAAGGAGGGGGGGAAACAAAGACTTCAAAAGAAGAAAAAAAGTTTTCTGTATTCTATAGTATCCACCCTCACCAAACACATTCTCTCTCATGGGTGGACAACACAGCCCAAAATGGGTATTATGAAACATCACACTCACAAGCCGAGCCCAAACGGCCACCGGCCCCCTATCAATCTATACACTAACTCGTCTCTTGTCTCTCCAATTCTCACCCCACACTTTGGCCTCAGCCACTGCCCTCTCCCTATCCGAAACACGATTTGAGTTCCTTGGAGAATCATCCCTCTCAAACCCATCAGCTCCCTCCCATTTCCTCCCTGACCCTCCTTCATCTTCACTTTTCATTATGCCTCCACCTCTCTCATCACCTTTCTCACTCCTAGTTCCCTTTCTATCATCTTTCTCTCTCCCGACTCGGCTGCTTTGAACAGAGGCAGTGTTTGGATCATAGGATTGCGAGGCCAAGTAAGATAAGGCCGTCACTACATCGCCGATAAGAGGGCGAGTGGCTGCTTGCTCTTGGAGGCACATGGCAGCTACAGCGAGGGCCTGGTAAAGGCCCCTCATTGGGTACCTTCCCTGAAGGAGAGGGTCAGCCATTTTCGGAAACTTGCGTCGATCATTAAACAGGGGTCGTGCCTGCAAGTACAAGAATATTGCATGGGTCAAATTCAGTGTAGACTATATTGTTTAAGAGCCAATGTGATAGCATGTATGGATAGGCATATATGTCTGTCAATATGCATTTGGCAACCATTAAAATGTATTCTAGATGAAAAACGGTTTTTTCTTTTTCTGTTTTTCTTTCAGGCTAAATGGTTTCTTATGTTTCCATATCACTCCATTGACTACATGTAGCAGCATCATCATCATCATAGCCTTTTCCCAATTAATTGAGGTCGGCTACACAAATCTTGGTTCGTCATTCTGCTCTATTAAGAGCAAGGCCCTCAGTGAGGCCATAAGTTCCAATATTTTTTCTCACTACTTCCAACCAAATCTTTTTGGGCCTACCCCTTGCCTTTATTTAGCCTTTCACTTTAACTAACTCACACATCCTAACGGGTGTTACGTCGGGTCTACATCACACATGGTCAGCCCACTTAAGTCTACTCTCTTTCATCTTATTGCCTATTGGTGCAACACCTAAATTTTCCCGAATGGATTCATTTCGAATTTTATCCCTTTTTGCCTAGCCATTCATCTATCTCAACATCCTCATCTCCACTACACTCATTATATGGGTATATTGTTTTTTGACAGCATAACATATTACAAACTAGCCCTAAGATATGTTATTGGCTGCACAAAGTATACCTAACAGCTCCGCCCTAAGATATGTTATTGGCTGCACAAAGTATACCTAACAGCTCCGCCCTAAGATATGTTATTGGCTGCACAAAGCATACCTAACAGCTCCCTCCCTCCCCCCCCCCCCCTTCCCTCTCTCTCTCTCTCTCTCCCATCCAAATTAGCACAAAAAAGTCATGTATCCCAGGTAAAAATGGTTAGAAGAAGCATCACAACAGGCCCATGGGTATGAAAGCACCACAGTTAATAAGTTATCCATCCAGCACACATGCAAGAAATACATATTTCTAGTTGATAATTTCTTCTTTTTTTTGAGAAGAAATTTCTAGTGGATAATTCATCAAGGCTTGAAAAATTCATCGATACTCGAAAGCTTATATCTCCTCATAAAGAGAAACATCAAAACTTGGGAAAGAAACTGATGATACAGCTTCAAAGTTGATGCCTATGCCATCAAACAAGCACAAGAAATCCCAACTTAGAAAGGGAAAATGCATTTATTTTCAATAAAAAGATGTAGAAGAAAGCATATTAAGGTTACTTCATTACTAAAACAGAATGATGTAGCACCAAGCAGATTAACTTCCAGAGAGATACTTAAGATTGTCTACTTCAGATTTCCCAGCAGAAAAATGACATCTTAAACTGAACCAATCCATGCATATGCAACAAAAGCAAAATACCACCCAAATTATGGTTCATTGTAGAAATACATATCTACCAATTTTAAAATGATGAATGCTCAAGTCCCATTCTTTTGAAACATAGGGAACATCAAACCCTAAATTCAAATGCAATAAGAGAATTGGTTTTCTAAATGAAATCAGAATTTCAACCATAAAATAAAGGAATTTAACTACCCAAAGCATAGGGGAATATCCAGTTGTTAAAGATAATAAGATTAGGACATTTTCGTCATTCTATAAATATTCAGGCTATTTTGCAGATTAACTTACAATGTTCAAAACTGACATGGGTATTCATATGCTTCAACAGTAATATTTCATGGTCCCAGTATACGACATGCAACTCAGTCTATCAAGGTAAAGTGCTTAATGACAAGGAAAGAATACTATAATCCAATGGACCATGTGAAACCATAGTCCATTGGGGTTACCAGCTTCAACAGAAATGCCCAGTGATGGAGACTGGGCTCCAGCAGAGCAGGACAGGACCTCAATAATGGATCCCAATCTCTCCATCATCTTTACCGTATCATCATTACGAAACCCCCCCAAGGGAGTATGGTTTTCCAATGTCCATCTGATAATAGCAATATCATTCACTATATATAATCGCAATTCTTTAATTCTCAAAAGCATGGAATGGTTACCCAAGCAACAAGGTTCTGCTCTCCAGGTGCTCTGGTGCTGTCGATGGCCTTACGCCCCGTAATAAGCTCAAGAAAAACCACACCAAAACTGTACACATCTGACTTCACAGTGAGTTGTCCAGTCATCGCATACTCTGGAGCGCAATAGCCATAAGTCCCCATCACCCTGGTGGAGACATGAGACTTATCTCCAACAGGGCCAAGTTTTGCCAGCCCAAAATCTGATAATTTAGGATGATATCCTTCATCCAATAGTATATTGGAGGACTTGAAATCCCTATAAATAACAGGTGGGTTCGCTTTATCATGCAGGTACTCCAATCCCTTGGCTGCACCTGCTGCTATCTTCATTCTAGTGTTCCAATCTAGAGGTTCCTTGTCAGGTGGGAGGTCTACAAAAGATGAATTAGCACAAATTATGGCATCCAAGTCATAGATTCAGTAACACAAAATTGAACATAAAAAATGGAGCTAGATTAAATCATTAATGACTCAACAGCAAGTATTCTAGATTTTACAAAGCAATGGACTGTCGTAAACCATAGTCCAACGGGGCCATTATCATCCAAAGAAATGTACAATGATCAAGAGAAAGTAGCACCCACCACACCAGGGAAAAATTTTAAAATGTTTTATAGCATATCCCATAACGTGCAATGCATGGATGTCCAAGATTGATAAAATGAAATAATGTGTGCGCCATAAAGAACTATAGTAACTGAAGATGATCTTAATATTGGGATACCCAATAATCTCCAAAACAAAATGGGGAAAGGTTAGATTACCAAAGTAGAATAAACTCTTAGTTACATGACCTTGAGAGTTATAATAGCAAAAATGATATCCGGGATGCCATTGAAGTCTATGAAGCACACAGCCATAAATGCATAACAATAAGAACCACTTTGAAAAGTAGTCCATGGTTGACCAAGAGGTAAAGTTTCTTTTAACTTTTCCTTATGTAATGATGAAACACAAAGGCCTCACCTAGTGTTTACTTCAACCATTGGAAATAGCTCATACCAGTCAATCATAATTCAATATCAAAAGTAAATTTAAGATGTAAAAATAATTTAAGATGCAAATATCAAAAAGCCTGCAAAGACTTTGTTATTCATAATGTAGCATGGCATGAAGGTTGTGCAGCCCTTCAAGTTGTTAGGATCTTGCCTTGGCATCTCCTTCAATCTTCTACCGTGGACCTTAACAAGAACCTCTGTAGAAATTCTGGTCTAGTAAATATTTTGTTGTAATTGTCATCATCCATCCAAGAAGGTGATTATGGTGGAGGGTATGTTAGCCATTACCGGTGCAAATCTAGGAGCATAGTGTTCTTGGATTCCCTACCAGTATATGAGCATTTTATTTCCTTTTGGAACCGTTGCACCTTCCAAAGAAAAGTAACAGAAATATGAATGTACAGGTTCTTCCCGCTGTAGGTCAAGCAACTAAAGTTCCTAGATATGGCTTCTTTCCCTACCTACTGGGTAAGCTCGATATCTAGTTAATCATGCATGCGTTGGGAAGTTATTGTACTCACCTTACATATGAGGCGGCTCCATAGCATGATAAATTAAGCCAAGCCAATAAGTGAATGACTTTCAGCCCTTCCTTTGCCCCGATAGTGAGCACTATAATGATAAAAAAGATAAAAGAAAAATGAAGTCCAATTCTAAAAAAAAAATCTTTGGAATTTTGACTGAAGACCACCACCAAAATTCTGTTTAGCTTTCAAATTACAACTTAAAGTTCAATGCTTTTGCTTTTAATATGAAAGTCAAAAACAATATGAGAAATCACCTCTTTGAACAGAACAGAGGGGTTTGCCCCTCTTCAACACAGCCAAGCACCACCACCACCAAAAAGGATTTAGAAGATGGATGCAGCTGAATTTAACTTAAGGTTTTCTTCAGACTCCAAGGGTTCCACCAATGTTGGGGTTTGAAAAAAAAAAAAGTAAATCAATCAATATAGCCATCTACTGTTTAAGAAGGCCTCTTTTATCCTTTAGACCAAACTGGCGGCCAAGATTCCAAAGTTGCAGTCCTTGGCTGAAGTGAAATATAAAAGTAGGACTCAAGCAAATTGCTCAGTCATATCAAAATGGATTTGGATTAAGGCAAGCACTCGAGGGGCATTGAGTTCAACAAGAGGCTATTCATATATCTAAGGACATTTGAGGTTGATAGATAAATGATCTATATTTATAGAATGATAGTTGACTTGAACCCTATATAGTAGATACGTCCTCAAATAGATTTTTGAACCCTAGATATGTAAAAAAACGGTTAGTTTAACATGTTGTGATTGCACCAAAGACTGCAGCAATGTGCAACGAGGTTACATGGTTGCCATACAGCAATTAATCCTTTTGGGGCTTGATCTATTTAAAGTTAAAGAGATCCAATGTGTTTCGCCTATTCAGACAATTATTCTTACAGTATATTATATAGGAAGGGTCTTTGCATAGGGTACGAGATCCCGCGCCAAGTGGTTTTGGACAGATTACAGGTGAAAATCTGGGAATACCTCATCGATGTACAAGACAAATTCAGCATCTATCCATTAGATGGATCAGATATAAGAAAAAAAAGATCAAATTTAATGCGCTTCGAAGATCAAAGACTTTGGCCTAAGTTTTGCAGGATTTCTAAAATTTGTGATTCCTTCGCAACAGTTGGTCGGTCTACGGCGAAATTTCCTCCCTAAGCTTATTTTTGCATTATTCATCCAATCATTGGCTCATTTCACACAAACAAAATGTAAAAACAAATTGGAATTGTGAGATTTCAAATTTCGGTCCACTATTCATGCAAAATTTTCAAGAGTTCAGATCACCTAGAACCCAGCTCGTAACTCAAATATGGTCTGGAGGTTTCAATTACGTTGTATGAGGAAGCAAAGGATTGGAGGCGTCGATTGGCATCAAGCATGAAAATTAGGGGACTGGCCTCAGGGGCATTTGTTTTTCAAATTTAAATTACTACAAGTGATATAATTAATTTATATTTAATTTTGAATATACTTATCTATGTTTTTTATATTTTCATTGTTCAAAAAAACGGACCGCCCAGCGCCTAGGCGGTCCAGAAGGCCTGGGCACATCACCCAGGCCTAGGCGACCAAACTGGGCAGTGGCCGCCCAGGGCCCGCCCGGCCCAAAGGTGTAAATGTTTTTTTTTTTTTTTTTTGATGTTTTTTAAAGATATAAAAGGTTAGAAGGAGGGGATTTAGGCTCATTTGAAACCTAAACCCACAAGAACCACTTTTAGAGAGAAAAAAACCTCCAAAAAACTACATTTCATTGGATTGAAGTGTCTCAAAGTTTGGAGTTCGAGCAATCAAAGTAAGTGCAAAACTTTATTTTTTAGATTGATTGTTTTATTTTGAGATGTCTTCTTCAGGAGTTAGTCGGAGTGGAGATCCAGGTTGGAAATATGGATACAACCCGAATCCAAATGACAAAAATTGTGTTAGATGCAATTTTTGTGAAAAAGATACAAAATGAGGCATAAAGCAGTTTAAGAAACATCTTGCCGGTATTAAGGGAGATGTTGCCCCTTGTAAAAATGTTTCTAAAGCTATCTGAGAGGAGATTAAGCAATACAAGAGTTCTGGAAAACAAAAATAGGAACAAAATCCTTGGCATAGATCTGTTTCTGCTACTTCTAGCAGAAGTGATCCGGGTTGGAAGTATGGGTACAACCCAAAACCAAATGATAAAAATTGTATAAGGTGTAATTTTTGTTGAAAAGATACCAATCGGGGTATTAGTCGATTCCAAAAACACCTTGCTGGTGTTAGAGGTAATGTTGTTTCTTGTACAAAGGTTCCTGAAGCAGCTCAGGATGAGATTAGATATCTTCTGAATTTAGAAGAACCAGAAAAGGTTGAAAATAAGCCTTGTTCTATTGAAGTATCTTCTCCAGGTTCTAGTCGGAGTGATGATCCGGGTTAGAAGTATGGTTATAACCCGAATCCAAGTGATAAAAATCGTATTAAATGTAATTATTGTGGAAAGGATACTAATGGGGGAATTTGCCGATTCATAAAAGACCTTGCGGGTATTAAAGGGGATGTTGCCCAGTGTAAAAATGTTCCTGAGGCTACCAGGGAGGAAATTATACAATATTTGAGTTCAGAGAAACCCAAAAAAAAGGGTAGAGCAGCCAAGACTCCTAGGGCCTCATCTGCACATACTAGTAAGAGGAAGGTAGAAGAAGATGAGGAGGAAGAGGCAGATTCAAACAAAACAGAGGAGGACGAGCGTTATATTGAAGAGGGAGCTGACTCTAATGATGAAAGCCTCGACTCTGATGCATATGATGAGGCTTGCCCTATTGATATTCCTTCTGATGATGATGATGATGATGACGACTGAAGACTCTTGCCTCTTGATTCTGAGTGTTGAGTATTGGCTATTGTGTTGAGTCATGAGTGTTGACTTTTGTTAGACTGTATATTTTTTAAATTTCTATATAGTTTTGTTGTGTTGAGCCTTTTATATCCTACACTTGTATGGTTTTACAGTTTACTGTTTTAACAATGTGAATTATCAAAATTCTCTTCTCGATATCTATCTTCTTTTTTTTCAACTTGGAATATGGTATTTGGTAATTTGATATTTTTTTTCAACTGGGCGGCCTGGACCCCCCAGGCCGCGTAGGACCCGCCTAGCGCTTTTTGATACACTATATATTTTTAATATTTTTCTCATTTATTTGGAGAACTTTTTTTTTTTCTGATTTTTCTTGTTTTACCTGCCTTTATGCACTCTTCATGTTGTTTATCATTTTGTTGCCTTTTCCAGAATTTTAATAATTTTAGATAATTTTAGGATTTTCCGACCTTTTGGGGTTTTCTGGGCTCCATAAGCAGCTCTATGCAGACTCAAGCAAGTCAAATCACACTAGCTTGAGTAACTAGGACTGCCCAAGATCCAACTTTGGTAGTTGAGCTGCATATCTTTACACTGTTTCAACATATGATCTTCCCACTGGCACTCTGCTAATACTGCCATTTCCATTTCCTATCAATTGAGTTCACACTCTCACGTAGATGATTCAACAGCAGCTAATTACAACAGCTCAGATAGTTAATAAATAAATAAATAATGAGCAAAGTTAACGTTAGATAGTTAATACAATTTAAACAATAAATATGACTATTTTGTTGTTTATTCGCTTCACCAAAGACCAACAAATATAATGTTCAAATATTCAAGATGGATAAGTTCCAAATTTAGGGCGGGGACACCCTGTTTGAGTGCTTGGTTGTTTCTTAAGGCAGTTTATGATTTTTCTTTTTCTTTATATTTCAAGGGAGTTATCAAAAAATTAGGCATCTCTACTTTTGCAAGGCCCATGTATCAAAATGCAAACCCCATAATACT